ACCGTCACTATCAATAGGTGCCCAGTATTGGCGAGAGGCAGAACACGTGCACGCACCGCGTATGTGGGCGTGCAACTGACGCCGGGACCCGCGTCAATATGGTCGAAAATCGCCCAGCCGCTGCCAGTGCCAGCATGGCCGCCAGATCGCTGTCGCACCGGGCGCCGAGAGTCAGGATGGTCGTCCTGCGTCTGCGGTGGTGTACGCGTTCCCCGAAGCTGCCGAGTTGTGTTGCCGACTTGTTGCATGTTTAGTGCAGCGTCGCCCCGCGTCACGTCGTAGAGCGCGGACGCGCATCACAAGAGAAGACGCCATGTAGCTGAGAAAGGACGCCAGGCCGGCAAGGCCGCACGGCCTCCAGCTGCGGTTCGCGTGCAGGGAACACAGCCGACCATTCGACCACCCGCAGGCGATGTGTGAATGCCACGCTGCCGGCAGAGGCATCTGGCCGCAAGGCGTGCAACACTGATATGCACAGCCGGTGGCAATCGTCATTGTCAGGAGTTTGGCCTGTATGGCGTTTCCTTGTAGAACCAAGTCATGCGTTGGCGTTCCATGTTGCCGGCATGACGGGTCGCGCTGTTGGTGACATAGCATCGGAAGGCAAACCAGGCCAACACGAGGAGGCAAGAGGAAGCTCGAGGAACCCCGCCAATGTTCAAAAATGAGTTCAATATTCCTGTCCCCATGTAGGAGACGTATAAAATATGATGCTGATCAGAACAGATTTGTATTCATAGAAGGTCATGTTTCATTATAGGAAACGATAAAAAGACATTCGGATGCGCTAAGGCTCTGCAGCGCATTTACACGCGACAGGGTTTTACAAAAAAAGCCATACTTGCATAATCCCACGGCACGGTGAAGCGTGCCGCCAATGGGGTGAAGCGCTGGCTCACACCGCTCCCCATGATGGGCATGGGTTGGGGGGGGGGGGGGGACAAGGCTGTCGGCGGGAGCCGCATCCGCCCCGTCATGCTCCCTGGAATGCAGGCCTTAGGTCCGTCGGCGACCTCACCAGCAGTCAGACGGCACGTCCGCGGGGCGGGACACAATACTGCGTCCGGCCTCGAGGCGTGACGCCAACCCGATTTACCGACGGTTTGCGGGGTACAGGGCAAACCCACAGCCGGCCGGCCAACCCACTGGTACTGGTCGGTGGCTAGCACGGACGGAGTGTATCGCAGGCAGGGACAGAATGCTCGTGTTGATTCCATATGATTACACTATGCACAGAAACAAATAATAAGTCAGTCACAGCTCGTGGCACACGCCGCCGCGATAGCAGGAAGAAATGGCAGGTGGGGGAATGGTCTTGATCATTGTCACGTAAATACACAACACACGGATTAGATGAGAATAAAGTAGAACATAATTCAGGCAATAGGGTGCAGCATCTCGCTGTGATTGTCACACTCGATTGCAAACCAATGCACGGCAAGGAAGAAACAAGAATGAATTACACCCACACAGTGGACCCTACAACCCTAAGCGAGGGGGATGTCTCGTGATGCGGTTGTTTACACAAATACACAGATCAAATAAAACACTAGGACAAGGAAGGGGCGGCAGTACTACACTTTGATCTGATCCAAAATCCCGAGAATCGATGCAGAAGATGCAACTGCAACAGGGTGCATTTGTGTCGTGCCGACCGCTGTCGCTCTGGAAGGGCCGACGTGCACGCGCCTGCCCCTGTGCGCCGGGTCGGCGAGCGATTTGCGACCGACGGCGAGCATGCTCACCCCGCTGCGCATCAGCACCAGCTCACATGACACTTTGCAGAGCTTCTTGTTGCAACTTCAGTCGTCCGCGCAATATCCGTTGGTCGAGACAGGAGCGGTTTGCGTCGGCACACTCGCGCGTGAGAGGAGGTCGCCGGCGCCGACGACGCCAGTGCGTTGTTCGTCCCGTCACCCGACTGGCGATCACGGATGACGTGGACCAGACATCGGTACACGTAAAACCACAACGTCACTATCAATAGGTGCCCAGTATTGGCGAGAAGCAAGAACACGTGCTCGCACCGCGTTGGTTGGCGTGCAACTGACGAAGGGACGCGCGTCACTACGGTCGAAACTCTCCAAGCCGCTTGCCACTAGAGATTGCCAGCATGGGCGCTAGCTGGCTCTCGCACCAGGCGCCGAGTGCCAGGTTGGTCGTCCTGCGTCTGCGGTGGTGGCGCGTTCCCGGCAGATGGGGAGTTGTGTTGGCCGACCTGTTGCATGATAAGTGCGGCGTCGCCCCGGCGTCACGTGGTAGAGCGCGGCCGCGCATCGCAAGCGAACACGCCCCATGCAGCTGAGGAATTGCGCCAGGTCGGCAAGACCGCAGGGCCTCCGACTGCGGTGCCCGTGCGCTGGAGCAGGCAACCAAAGCCGACCATTCTGACCGCCCGCAAGAGATGTGTGAATGCCACGCTTCCGGCTGAGGACATCTGGCCGCAAGGGCGTGCAACACTGATATGCACAGCCGGCGGCCATGGCCATTGTCAGGCATTTGGTCTGTATGGCGTTCGCTTGTACAACCATGGTGATGCGTTGGCGTTGCATGTTGCCGGCCTGACTGCACGCGCTGTTGGTAACATGGCATCACCCGACCAACCAGGCCAAACCGCGGAGGGGCGAGAAGAAGCTCCAGTAACGCCGCAAATGTTCAAAAAATGAGTTTAATATTCTGGTCCCCATGTAGGGGACGTATCAGATATGATGCTGATCAGAACAGATTTGTATTCATCAAAGGTCATGTTTCATTACAGGAAATGGTAAAAAGACAAACGGATGCACTCAAGGTCTGCAGCGCATGTTCACGCGACAGTGTTTTTACAAAAAAGTCATTGCCACCCCTCCCCTTGTCAAAGGTTTTACTTGATCTGTGTATTTGTGTAATCACCGCATCACGAGATGCCCCCCCCCCCCCCTCCTTAGGGTTGTATGCCCACTGTGTGGGTGTAGTTGATCATTATTTTTTCGGTGTATTGGTGCAATCGAACGACAGTGACAACGAGATGCTGCCCCATTCCCTTAAGTATGTTCAACTTATTCTCATCTAATCCGTGTGTTGGTGTATTTACGTGACAATCATCAAGACATTCCCTCCGCCCCCCCCCCCCCCCAACCCCAGCCCACGCCCCCAACCCCCCTCCCTCTTGTTTTTCTGCTTGCGGCGCGTGTGCACGTGCTGTACTGATTATTGTTTGATCTGTGCATTAGATCAATCATATGGAATCAACACGAAATGCTTCCCGTAACCCTGGACTGCGTAGCACTCCGGCGTGTAGCCCCCGCCCGTTCCCTGGGCTGTCCGGCCGGCTGTGGGTTTGCCACTTCCCTGCAATGTCCGTAAGCAATGGGCAGCTGAGGCCATGTCGTGTGGTCACAGTTTTGCCTCCGGCGTTCCTCGCTCGGCGTCACGCCTCGAGGCGACGCAGCCTGGTGTCGTTGCCGCGGACGTGCCGTCTGGCTGCGGTGAGGCCGCCGACGGCCTAAGGCCTGCAATCCAGGGAGCAATGACGGGGCGGATGCGGCCCCCCCTGACGGCCTTCCCCACGCACCCATGGGCAGCGGGGTAAGCCAACGCTTCACCCCACTGGCAGCACACTACACCGTACCCTGGCATTATGGCAGTATAGTTTTTTTTTTTGTAAAGCATTGTCGCGTTGTAAAAGCGCTGCAGACCTTCAGCAGATCCGTTTGTCTTTTTACCATGTCCTATAATGAAACATGACCTTTTATGAATACAAATCTATTCTGATC